GATAGACACCGGACCTTTTGCTTTTATAGCTTGAGCTTTAAGAAAAAAGGAGAATAAAAACATTAGAGTAGCTCGTGGCTCTACTCAAATTATCTGTTTGGTATCACTCTGAAAAACATTAAGATTAGCAGACAGGCAATAAGCCCCTCAGCACATTTCAACATGCAAGCATTCGTATTTGTGGGGGTTTGTTTTTGTTTTATAGCAAAATCACTCTAATTCACAGTAAACAAGCTGCAGACCTGCATACATATGCAGATTCTCCTCTTCTCCCTTTACTCTGTAAACATTTAATAACAGAGACTGCACCTGTTACAGTGAAGTTTCACAGTATTTTGGTTTTATTTAATAGCACATTTTGAGAGATGAAATTGTCTAGATTTAATTATAAACAAAGCATGTTTCAGTTCATTAGCTCTCATTATTATTGTTTGTTAATACTATTGGCTTAGAAGAGTCACTAATGCCTTGGAGGAGGGGCACACATCTCTTCTTTTGAGTGAATTCCTAAACCTTCAGTGTATTTTAGAAATCCAAGGAATCACTGTTGAAATAAACAGTACACTTCGAACAATGTGGAAAAAAGCATGACCCTACTAATAAAGTCTTTGAAGCAAATGAAAAGCAAATAACTGATTCACCCACCGCTGGAAAATAACCTCAATGTATTTCTTTAAGTTATGAGGACCGTAATCATATCAATACACTTATCAGGGTGGCAAATACTGGAGAATGGCATGATGGATTGCAACTACCAAGTGGGCTAATTGCTTTATACTCACAAGGGTACGTTAATTTTGTAGGCCATGCAACAAGAATTCTCTATTACCATCTGAGTGGTCTGCAAATAGTTTGGTACATTCTGGTTTTTTGCTATGGAAATTAGATGTAAAAAATTGTTTGTGGAGAGAAAGGCCAAGCTAAGGCCAAATTAGAGTACAGTGATGGGAGCAGTTTCGTGTGGGAGCAGTCGTTGGACGTTTGCAATTTCGGAGCTGGGCTCTGTTGTCAGAGCTGAGAGCGAGCAAGGCACGAACGTCGGCACCCTGAGCTGGCTGGCAAGGTCGGAGCCCCAGTGTCTGTGGGGCTGTGGAAAGGGTTTCTGAAAGCAAAACTACTCAGGGCACCTTTTCAAGCAACTTAACGTAACGTGAAAGTGGCCAGTGGTTCAGACATCGGTGTATACAAAATGCTCACGTTAACTCACAAGTTCTTAAAAGCAATACAACAATTTAGGTTTTAAAGGCATTTGGGTAACATACTCCATCAACCACTTGGAAGCAGAACAGTTTTAGGTATGTTTATCACAAAACAGGAAAGCTTTGAAAATACTGTATGTATCTTAGTCTTATATTCTGACAAGAACCGAGTATCAGAATTTTAGAACACTGTGAGAAGAACTGTGTTTCAACTAGACTTGGTTTCAACTGCCAAATATAAGGCGGCCAAAACTGGAGACAGAGAAGAGATATGTACAGAGAGGGACACGAACCTGAAGATGACGCTTACAAATAGGCTAAAGAAACCCTATTCAAACCTGTGTCAAAGGAGCCGCAGAACAATCACCAAAAGAGCTGCTGTGTATCACACCAGTCCTTCATTAAAGTAGATTTTTATTGCAGTCACATACATCTTCCAAGAAATTAATAAAATTATTCTCAGCCCTGGAGGCTGTTGTGGCAGGTGGTGAAAAAGCATAACAAATCCAGATGGAAACGAGCGTTTGTGAACCACAGTCAGCCGCAGGAAGAAAGATCAAGAACATCACTAAAATCTAGATCACTATACAGCATCAAGTAAGAACAGCTTCAGAGTAACAAAAATTCTGTCTGTTTAAATAAGTAACTAACAACAGGTAAGATTTTACAAGTGAGAGTCTTTATTTCTCTTAAATCAGCAAATGTTTTAGCAAATACTCTTCAGACAGCCTAAGAACACGATCACCATCGCAGTCTGCAGTGAGGCTTCTTAGATTTGGAACCTTACATGTTTTTGCATAGAAATCCTATTGAATATAGGTTTCATTTTTATAAATGAGTTTGTATTTGTGAGACACTATCTTGTGTTTACAGTATAAAAAGTAATCCCATCTAGTTTACATCTAAACACAAAAATAAATATATTTTCAGACATGTCAGTTGTAATGGATGACAATGACTGACATTGCTAAAACATTTTGGAGCTCCAAAAGCCAACAAGTCTGAGGAGCATTCTGGGAATTCTGACATCCATAACTCATTTCAGTAAATGCAAAACTGCATGTGCATACAGATAGAAAGAGTTGGAATCCGATACGGAATTGGTTTCTGAATCAATGAAATGTTGTCATCCACAGAGAAAAAGGGGATAATTTAATACCATCTGGCCTGCTATGGAAAGTCAGGAATAGCTCTGTATTCAACAGACTCCACAGGAGATTTTTAGGCTGGCTACGTGCAAAACAGGAAACCCAAAATTAAAGCAATTCACTAAGAATGATGCTCCTTTCTAGAGCAATTAAAATACTGTAAATCAGATTGTGAACTGCTTTTACTTGGTCTGAGTTGCTTTCAGTGGGCTGTTTAAATGTCAGATGATAGCCACACCCAAAACATGTAGTAACTCCAACATCACAAGGTCCATTCTGAAAGCACTTCCACTTTTCACCGCAGGAGCACCACCATTTATTTTGACGTTTTTGCTGATGCTGTTTCAGCCTGCGATACGAGGACACGAAATATGTCTAGGTGCAACATCTGGAGACAAATTCCAAAGACTAACACATGTGCTTCTTTTTCTCTCCAAGAACCATTAACATGTAATTGTTGCTTCACTGCAAATCAATCATAATCAGAAAGGAACAATCAAGCAGTGGTAAACCTCTCCCCAGAGCCATTTTAAAAGACTATTTCACTCAAGGACCCAGTGTAATTACAGAAGAAAGGCCAGCTCTCTTAAATGTGGGTGGCCCCAGACATGAGCACACTGGAACTCCAGGAAACTGAGCACAACTGAAAAATAAAATCAAGTTTCGCGCTTAGGTGCCAAACACAAGCACCCAATTTTGAAATTGCTCTGCTCATCAAAAAAAGCTACTTTCCCCAGTTTTAGGTCTTCTAATAATGTTTAACCCCTTGGTGCTGTCAGTACTGGTGTGCTCCTGAGCCAATGACAAGACGCATGCCAAAGAGCTGTGATTTACGGTGTCAAAGGACTAGAGGCAATTGTTTGGAAAGGAGCGTAACACATACCGTATTTTTTTTCAAACAGCTCTTCAACTTGCTTTCTCAAATCTGTAATTCGCGCATTCCATTTCTCTGCAAAGAAAAGAGAAGGACATGTCAGAGTACAAATGGAACTGAGGATCTCTTGTAAAATCTGTGTTACCCCTAACTGAAATATGCAGTGTGCTTTTACTGCTCACTTGCATACAGGTGCCTCTGGAGTACGGTATAGGCTATACCATAAAATACATAGATACCTTCAGAAAGAAAAAGGATAGAATAAAATGTTTGAGATTACCTCCAAAACTTGTGCAGATGTTAAATCAAGTTTAAAAAAAATAAAAGGACATAAACCAGGCTAAAGTAACTCCAAAAATGGTTTCTCTTTGACGGCTCGGTCAGCAGCTCTCACTACCATCAGGGGTAAAGTCAGTTTGCAGCCGCTGTTGATAGTTATCTAAATCCGGGTGCTGAAAAGCTTAATTAGTGAAACTTGATAAAGCTTACAGCGAGTACATGAAGTTGTTTTGGTGCAAATCTGTACAGCTATCTGGCTCAGAAGGCATCATGCCATCCTCTACCTTAATCTAGTATTTCTCCAAGTCCTGATGTTGCAAAACATCCCCATAAATCCTATTTCTGAAAGAAGATGCAGGCTGCAAGACAGAAGTTATCCAAATCCAATCGTGTGTTCCATGGAGAGCTGGATTAAACGGCGGAATTTTAACATCTAATTTTCTGCCTGTGACAGAGCGCACACGTTTTCACAGCTTTTTGTACTATCTCAATGTGTGTAGGAAAATGCCATAACTCTTTTGTAGATGGTACCAGATGCTGGCTGGCCTTTATGAATGAGTTAATAAGCAAGTGTACTTACAGCTTATTTCTTACACTAAAGACTTGAATCTAGTAACTGCAGAGGTCAAAAAATGAGGCCATTCAAGCTGTTACACTGCCAGTTGTCAAAAAATCTTTGTATCAGACAAGAGAGAGGATGGAATTTCGAGTCCGTATCGAAAGGGTTTTAAATATTCATTCTCAGACCAACATATACAACTTTGGTGGCATTTTTAAGCTTATAGTTTTTAAATGTAACTTCATGGATATCAAGAGAACAGCATGCTTCAGATGTGGGCAAGAATAAGGCCTTGTTTAGAGGGGAAAGGGTGTTTTGGCACACTGCCTCTCACCCAGACATAAACTCTTCATTCTAGTGACCTGGCATATCACCTACATCAATTAACCTGTTTATATTTTGAAATAACATCCGTGTGGATAAATCTATATAATTGCTTCTGCCACCCTTTTTACTGCTATCCTGTAGTACACAGCTTCTTAGCTGATAAATGTCTTGAGCTCAACGTTTTCTGCTCCCATGTCACTTCAACCTTGCAGTATTGCCCTCTTTAATTTCAGATGTATAGCCAGATGAAGCTCTTTCTGATTCCAGCACAACCACCAACTGCATTTTGTGTTGACCTGCAGACCAATGGATTAACAGCAGCTTTACCAGTAAGAGTCAGGAAAATACGAGTCAGAATTTACTGGCTTAAAGGGGAAACTCCGCTTTACTCAACAGAGCTGGTGAACACACATGGACGGTCCTGGGACAAGGTTTTTGAAAGGCACCTGCGTGACTCCAGATTCTAACCCAGGGGAAAGCGTCACAGAGTTGGGATCCCTTCAGTTCATCAAGCTCTGAGGCAGACTCAGCAAACAACCTCCTCTAAAACTCAGGCTGGTTTTCGTCAGAGAGAGAACAGCCAGAAAGAATGTCATGCCATATTACAAAGCAACCGTATAAAAGTATACAAATAATACTGTTTTGAATATTGGTCGTTCTGCAATTTTAGGAGAAGCTGCTCCCACCCAGCCTGGTCTCCCTCTGCTTGTTAGCGTGCTCACGAGAGTGTTCCTACAGGGGCCATTAAGTTGTCAAGGGTTCATTTTTCTCAGTTACCAAACCCCACAATCACTGGCCAAATATTCCATGTGGATATTTTCAAGCAACTACTTCCATGCCCCTCTCCCTCCAATGGAAACACTACAGGGATTAATGATTAAATACACCACAAAACAGGCATGTTTATTTGGAATGGTGGATACACAGAGAATAGGCAATTGAAAAAAATTATAAACTGGCTCACATTTTGATCAGCACGCTGTTTTTTAGCTACTTTTGTATTTTATGAGTAAATTGCCAAGTTAGGCTACAGAGACAAAATTCAGAGGGGTTTTCAGGTAACTGACATTATTTTTAATCAGACTGTCAGCATTATTAACCCTTGGATTCAGACCTATCACTGTAAAAACATTCTTTTGTCACACACTTCGTGCTTGTGTAGCAAAGTTGAAGACGTACCACAAAGCTAAGCTCATATTCTGATTTGGTAATCACTCTACAAAGCAGTTTAGTTTTCCTGTAGGCACCAAGATAAGTGGTGGTTTCCTTCTGTTCCTATATATACACCTTCTGATACATGGGAAACACCATCCCAATTAAATAACAACCCTGAAAACTTCCCCAGCCCATCCACAGTCTCTTCAATTCACTCCATTCTCTGCTCCAGATAACATCCACTACAGTAGGGGCAACCTGCACAGCGCACACAAAATGATGCTCAGGTACATTCTATGCCCATCAACACACCACACAGTACTCTGGGGGGAAATAAAATGGAAAACACGCAGCAAGTCTAAGCATGCCGCAGGCTGGCAAAACCTGTGTTCAACAGGGTGTCAAAACGGGGAAAAACTATACACACTTTCCATCACTGTCACAGTGAGATAACAGCCAAGGGGACTTTTTTCCCATTAAAATGGTATGACACAACTGCAAGACACAGCTTGAAGCTTCTGAGCTTTTGATAAAATCTCTAAGAAAGCAAAAAAACGTTGTGGGATGAGATTTTTACTGACAATATCAGTTCCTTTCAGCAAAGGTATTTTTAACCTTAAATAGTTGGTTCAGAAGTATTTTTGAAATCCAACCTCCCTTCCCAAAGATGATCAATTTCTATTAAGCATTTTACCAGACACTTTTCATTCCTCCCCCTGGTTACAATTATTTGGCTTTCCACTTTGTTTTCCTGTTTCCATGAAACTAAGAGCACAGCACATTATTCACCCTGTTTCTCAGGCCACTCGGGGTACTGATCTCTGACTCAATCAAGACATACAGGAAGTCTCTCCAACTCACAGCTATCAAACATCTAGATCTCATCAGTGTTACGTAAAATACTGAAAGTCCTTATCAGATGAGACAGATTTCTCTCTCAAGCATCTGTATCTCCTTTCCAGTCTTCTGAGTGCGTGTGCTCTTGTCATTCTGCAGCTATTCATGATAGAATTAAACACCTCCCTTTCTCCTGTCCGATTATCTAATATTAGACTTCATTAGACAAAGGTGCAAAGTCTTCTGAACGGTCCAAACAGCCGCACTGCAACTACTAACAGTTGCTCTTTTTTTCATTACAGCAAACAAAGTCTATTTCTCCAAAGCTTCTCACATTCATTTTGTGTTTTAACCAAACCTTGCAACACCGTAGAGAAATACCCCTTTCTGTAGGTGAAGCCCAAAAATGAATATGAGGGGCAATAACCTCAATACAATTTAGGAAGCCCAGGAATAAAGATCTCTGAATAACCCACGAGCTGCAAAACACTGTAATCTAACTGCACGGCAGGTCGTTAAGAACAAAGTTTTCCTGAGAACAGCCCAGAGAGATAATCTACCACGTCAACTCAGAAGCAACAGTGAGCAGGTAAGCTGTGAGATGGTTCTTTAACCGGTGTTTCAACATTGCAAGCTCAACTCAAACTTTTATCATCCTAATATTTTATTACCTTTGCTCTCCATGTCTAATCAACCTCACTGTTTATTCCCTTCAAACACTGCTGGCCTGCCAAGCTTAGATGCTGTTTTCTACTAAGGGAATATATTCTAGCAAAAGCTTCTGCAGTATTAACTGCTCAGTCTTCTCCTCTACTAATGTTGCCATTATGTGCTCCTGACCCAACCAAAACTAACTAATGCTACGTGTGGAACTGCCTATTGGTATTAATGATCTTTTGAGAATAAAGCTCTCAACAATGTTTTATTCATTTTTGCTGAAATTAGCATGAAATAACATTTCACGCAAAACAGATGTCAGAAGAGGTTCCATGGGGATTTTTCAATTGACCTCAAATCCCTACATTCCTAATAAACATCTCAAACACTGTGCCAAAGGACATACTCCTGATTGCGCAGAATCTTATAGAAGTACACAGATTCATGGGATATCTGCCCAGAAACCAAACCAAAACAAGAAATAAAGGAGAGGTATGAGGCTGCAACAAATCACATGGGAAGTATCTTTAACCAGAATAACTACAGTCTGTGGATGCATTTCTGCGGTGAGAACTCTACATAAGGTATCGTGAAAGAACACTACCAAAGAGACCCCAACTTTTTGTGTGTCCGCAGGGATCAAGGCAGGCTACTCGGCATAACAGTCATTTGGTTACCTTCCCAAATGTGGCTCCCCTCAGCACATCTTCATTGTTCACAGCATGTATCAAGAAAGACCAGCTAGACAGGCTCCTGACCTCCGGTTTGCCATAATTCAGTACACTAGAAAATTCAGTCTTATCTTCTTGTCCAAGAAATCAGCTGACAAAACTCTGGACTTATTTTTATTTTATTAAATTACTTGCAGTGTCTATTTAGGTGGTCACTTTGAATAATGATAAACAACAGAGGTAGCCTATGATGATGATTATACTGCTGCAATGTATCTACAAAGAGCCCTAGGCTCTTCAATGAATACTAGCACTGGCGTGTCTCACTCCTGCAGTGTGAAATTGTCTAATGCCTTTTTATAAAACAAAGCAGAGAGACAAAAAATCTTTCATTTTTATCTTACCAAAATTGAACTCTCTCACTTTTCTTCTCCCAGTATTGGCAGCTTCATTAGCTGATTCAGTGTTCTTCGGTCTCTTGTTAGGGGGCAAGTAGTCATCATCATCTTGAAGAAACATAAAGATATCACTGTTTTAATGTCCAGAGAACTTATGTGCAACGTTGGAACTGCTTTGAATTTCAAAGCTCTAATGCAAGTATTGAACTGTGCTTTATCAGGGCATTAAATTTTGCAACGAATTACTTATCTGAGTAACTTGAGAAAGCTACTGGCCTGTGTAGGAACAATTTGTGTAAGAGAGCCAGCACAAGGCATAAGATCACAAAAAGCAAAGCTTCTTCTGTACTTCCTAAGGAAAACACTATTGTGTTCTGAAACATGACTGGACATCTCATAATCATAAAATGACCACACAACAGCAAAAGAAATCAGGAAATAAATTGTGCAGACACAGACTACATTTTTTATCTAATTGGAAGTATCCTTCCACTAATAAGTCTTGAAACACAGTACCTAAGTTTTATCTTGAAGAGCTCAAAGGTGCCAAAACCAATTTCAAACCAATGTAAAACTGATGGATGTAACTGAAATTCATTTAACAGGTCAGCCCTACCTCAAACACACACAAACAGACAGAGGAGGAAAACTGCAAACCCCAGGTATTTTTCAGTGAGCTGCTACTTAGCCAGTCACTTCCCAATCCAAAACACTATCTTCCCTACCAGTTAATGAGTTTTTAAGACTGTCCAATTACCAATACCTGCAACCTTAGAGAAAAGAAATGGTTAAAGCAGACAAAGAAAAATAACTTTAATTTCACATACAAAATAGCATCTGCCCAGGTCACCAAGGGTATAGTTTACTTAGGAAGAATAGTATTACATATTGACATCTCTTGCACCTATGCAATTGTATTATACTCTGTCAGAGAAAACCTTTTCAGAGCATTTTTAATTTTGTGGTAAAGGCCTTTACATACACACAGAACTTATTAACTATTCTCTTATTACCTTTTCTGTTGAGGTAATGTAAGAATTATTTTACTGCTGGATTATAAAAAGGTGAAAGTAATGCCAGAAGTGTCAACTTTGTCCTAAAATGCATTGCCTAATTTCTAAATTGCTAATTTGGTGGTCTTAATCTTACCCATTCCACAAGCAAGCATTGCAAAAGCCAATCTCAGAAATGTTTTAAAGCAGTTACAGGACATGTAATTCACAAATGCAAGAAATACAGCTGGCTTCCAACCAACATCCTAGCATGAAAACAACGTGGACATTGGTTAGTGGCTTTAGTGCCATTTAGATGAGAAAGGGAGGTGGTAAGTACAAAGGTTTTTATCTCATATTTATCTATATTAGACAAATAAATTGAAGCTTCACTTACACCACCTGTAACACATCATTTCTGTTATGGTACAATTCTTCCCAGAAGCTAGTGTTACTAGAAATTTTATATAACTACAGTGTGCTTATAAAACAATGTGTTCTTCAGAATGAATGTTGTAAAATCTTTTTAAAATCTAAATTAATGGCTGTTAAATAATGAGCATTCTTCACTACCTATGCTTGAAAAATATGTGAAAGATGCAAATCTCTGTCACACATCATTTCAAAACCAGCCCAGTAAGTCCAATATGCTTCAGTATATTGTGGTTTTATAGGACTTCTGGACTAGGTATGTTTACCAAGCAGTGCACGACCCAAACTGCAGTCAACACTGGCACATAATCCTATTTATTCAGTGCCAAGTAATGCAGGCATTGTAAAACATTTTTTGGACATAAAAACGCCCAACAGACTGAAATTAATGATCGGGAGAACTAACCTTCGATGGTGACCTCGACCTCAGGATCCTCACTTGTTTCTGAAGGGGCATGCTGGGAGGAATCTGAAGGGGGAAAAGCAGGACTGATGAACACAGAAAAGATTTTTAACCAAACACTCTGTGATTTTTGTATTTAAACTAACACTTGTCAAAGAAGTCCCCTGGCTCACTGAAACATTTTGCATTCACAGTGTGCAACAAAAACAGAAGCAAAGATATTTTACCATAAGCCTTTAAGCAATTCTAGACACGGGCAGGGAGGTGGGGATTATACTCGCACAATCTACTGCGTGTGCAGCAGTGCAGAGTTGGTGTTAATGATAGTAGGAAATTCCTTATTCTTGGCTTAATAGGATTAATACAATCATAAATATTTTTCCCTTTGCTATCAAGGATTATTGAAAATATATGAACAAAGTCTGTGTGCCCCTACAGACGATGTATGTCTTTACCATTTATACAGCCTCATAGTCGTTGCACTATAATGATTTCCATAACAGGCTGCAAGGCCAACAGTGAAAAATGAGAGGGAAATTCATAATCACAATGCTTTCGTTGGGGCAGTCTGCTGCAACCTAATAAACAGGATTAGGCCTATCAACACTCGCTGGGAGAAAGAGCAATTTGCATGTAACTGCAGTAAAGTTTAAAAAAGTGAAGCTAAGTATATTGGAAACTATTTCAAAACTAAGTAGCAGTGGATGAAGGAATATATTTTAATTATTTTGGCAGAGTAATGCTGCACTTGTGCATTTTGAAGAGTATCTTCTTTCAGATCTCTGTAAGCTGGAAGTATGCTATCACTTGGGGAGCAAGCCTGAAGGAATCTCCGTTTCAAAGGCTCTTCACGTGATGTCGTGTATAGTAGAGATGCAGCAGTATCTACTGAGACACCTTAACTGGAGTATACTGGAACTACGTCAAATATATCATCTAGTTCATGGAAAACATAGTATGATGTTTTGATCTAATCCAGCGTGAGTGCTGGGTAGATAAGCAGCAAATGCAAAGCACAACAAAAGGAAAGAATTGGGAGGTAATGGTCTTTTAGTAGACGTGAATATAAAGTATGGTCATAAAAATAACTATCACATCAACTGATCACTTGGAACCTTTTTGGAGAGCATCAGAAAACTTTAAAACAAACAAACAAAAACCCCCACAATTTTTGGAAGTTTAAGAACAGCCACAAAGACTGGCAAATGGTCCATCTAGTCCAGTACCAAATCCCTGAGAAATAGTCATAATTAAGAGAAACATGCTAAAATGTCAAAGCAGATGGCAACAAAGTTCTGGAAGAAAACTCCCAGATGGGACATTACTTCTTAAGCCATATTAAACCAACTGCTTTAAACACTAAAGTATTTTTTTTTAACAAAGTATTATCATCACTAGGTATTTTTTGATCTTAGGTAAATACACACAGCTCCTAAGCAGCAGCCTTCTTCACAGTTCTAAATGTCGTCATTCACTGGCCATGTCTCCAGTTTCTCAAACGTGATTTCATTCAGTTTAAAACAATTTCTTCTGATGCACGTAACCTTAACTTTCTGATTGCTGAATCTCAATCACACCACGCTCCCCACTCATCCAATCTCACTAAGACCTCAGACGCCTTTATCAGCAGGTATCAATCAATACCATATCAATATCAATCTGGGGGATGGATTCCAGGCACACGTTAATTTTGCCACTCCCTTTTTCACCATCTTGTCAAGGTTACTGGAGGGGAAAAACAGTGAATACCCCCAGTGATATACACCAAAAGATACGTTTGTACATCTCTCTGATGTTTTTCTTTGCAGAAAACAATCATTTCTGCAGATCTTCTGCATCACAGTCTGTAGCTTTCAGGCAGACTTTCGGAAGAACTTTAAATGCCTATTATATGTATTTCTTTAATAATAGTTAGAAGGATATACACCAAAGACTTCATAAAATCCAAACGTTGTCATCAATTTTTCTTTCTTATTCATTTTTGTGAGGATCAGCAATAATTTTATTTTACAGAATCCAGACAAGACTGCCTACGCTGCATGCCTATTTAAACAACAAATGAAATTTAAGTTAGACTGTTACCTGCAATTTTTAATCACTGCCTATAAACCTTTTCATAAATACTAACCTTCACGAACAACAGGTTTATTCTATTCAGCAAAACCAGGGTGCAAATTTCAGCATCTCTCTTACAGAAACTTGTAAAGGAGAAGAGATTTGAGAAAAGGGTGTGTAACAAAACCATATTCTGACACGAAGGGCCACACTCAGCGTCTGTAGCTATAAAATTCTACATAGTCAAAAAGAGAGCAAAGTCAGAGTCTCGGTCATTTCATATCACACATCCCTTTCCTCAGGCTCTCTCTTCACGGTCAGGCATAAAGCTCACGGCATTATGCTTAGGAAAACAAAGTACCTAGATCATTTCTTCTCACCTAAGTAGAATTAATAATGCGGTCAGCAAGAGCAAAGAACTTCATTCTCCATTATCAAGAGAAATGCTTTTAAATTTCAGGTAATGGCACCCTTAGCTATGGTGATATTTACCTTCAAAGCAAAACTAACGGGATTTGCAAGAATGAGTATTGCTGCTAGCGTAACTTGGCCTTAACATCCAAAAAATACTCCTGGCTCAGGTTTGAGAGTCAGGTGCTTAGAATGAAACTAGCTGCAGAATGATGTACTTTTAACATCATGTCAAAGCGTTAAATGTTGGGTGACAAGCACCTTACAAATGCAATTTATGGTTTAAAAGAATGACGACTCCCATCACAACTTGCTTATAGTAAGCCACAGAGTGGCACGATTTGGGAGATTAAAAGCAAAACAAAACAAAAACCCCAAAAGCCAATGTTGTGGAAATGTGGAAAGAGTATGGTTGGAGAAGATGTACAACTTTTATTAAGGTGCCATCTTTTCAAATATTTCTGAAAAAAAAAATATCCAATGATGTTAAATTATTCTCATGAAAAACATTTCATATCTCTAACCTTCTACCGGTATTTCCACATCTGTTCCTTCACTGCAATCGGAACCCTGGTGGCTTCCTTTAGACAAATATAAAGTAAAAAACATACCATAATAAAAATACAAAAGAAACTTTTTAACATCTACTATTCAAAGCAAGGATTTTCGTAAGTGAAAAATCCAGAACTATAATGTTCACATGAACAACACACAGAAGGCTCAATTTCTGAATCTTAAATTCATGACAGCAGGAGCACTCTGACGTTATAAAGAAATTCACAGGTTGAAATGCAGAATACTATTTTCTAGTGTTTGCAAATGGGCAAACCAGTATTTTTAATACAGACTGTAAGAAACTGAAAAAAAAAAAAGTACAATTTTGGAGTAAATTTATTTCAGGTATTGTTCATATACAGTAAGGAACTCCATCCACTAAACACAGGCTTTTCATATAATTTGTTCTGTATATACCCATTCACCTCACATGCAGCTGAAAGAAAGAAATGATCAGGTTGTACTCATAATACACAAGCAGAGGTTTGTTAAACTTTATAACCAGTTATGAAACAGACTGAATTTCATGAGAAACATATCGACTCGCACAAATTACCAGTGCTTTAGTGATCAACCTGATGTTCCTTTTCGAGTTTAGAAAAGAAAGAAATGAGGTTCCCTTCTACATGTCTCTCTACTTGGACACCTGAAAATTAAAGCAACTGAAATTTTCATTTCTGTTGAAGTTTAAGTTCCAAGACCCTAACTCTCACTTCAAATCAAGGAAGCAGAGCCTTGAAAAGTAAAACTCACACATTCAATTTCCAAAACAGATGTGAGAAAAATACAACCAAAAGATCTACCTGTGAAACTTTTTGCAAGAGCAATTTTTTCATCCATCTCCGACGTTTCGGAAGGGCCTGCTTGGGAACAAAGAGAACGGCTTTTAAATTGTGTCTCACAACAAACACATTTTCCCAGTCCATAGAGGAATTTGCCAAATAACTCTTAACTTCATATATCATATGCTCATTTCATACCTTCTGTAATGTTGAACTTAGGAAAGACCGTGTGAAATATTAAGAATATATAAATCCTTACTCATCCAGTTCAACAGAATAAAAATGTTGAGGGGCTACTGGGAGGGGGGTGCATTTCTTGGACTATTCAACAGTCAGAGACTCATGCAGAACAGTAGGTTTTCAATTTTTTTAGTGTTAATAAACTAATTTTAAAACATGAAATGTTGATGGTTCTGCCTTTTTTCAATGAATTTTTAATCAGCTAACTCTTTTTCCTCTTTGTTAAAATTTGTATTCCTAGGGAGTCCTTTTTGACTTTAAAATTTCTACCTACATTAAACAGACAAATTCAGAGAGATTAAAATCATTTACGACACTTCAAGGTTGTTTGCTTTTCATCCTAACAGCTCTTTTGATGGCTATATGGGGACTGCTTTAAAAAGGCTGTTGCAGAAAGCAGCACACAAATGACACTTAAAAGATTAAATTAACACCCCTAAAATCCTACTGCTTAATGCTTTGGCACTCCTGCAGTTACACTGAAAAGAGTGAACTGCTTACAGCACAAATGGCTTCACACTGAGCAAGAGATCATTCTATACCACAAAAATAGGCTAGTTTTATACACCTATGCTCTGTGTGGCATACGGGCATGCATAGGACTAACTGGCACTGAAGGATTTGGACTAATTATTCTGCATAAATCAAATCATTGCTGTGTTCATTTGCAAAAGCAATCCGCAGAAGATCATATACCTCCCCAGAAATTATGGCCGTTTGGAGGTAGGTTTAAAAGTGTATCAACAACAAATATTAATAGCTTCCCAATAGAAAAAGCTACTGTTAACTAATAAGGCAAGTGAAATATTTTAAACTCATTATTTCATACACACAGGAAGTAAGACAAGATAGAAAAGACTGTTGTCACAATCAGACTTAATGAGTATTTCAGTCAACTGAAGGTACATATACAGTATCAAATACTATAAGTTAGTCAAGAAAATTAATATTTAGGCATTAAATTTTTAAAAGAAAAACATGATGATTATGAGGTGGTTACAATAACATTCGGTTGAGACAGTTCTGCCTAATTTGATTGCTCAGATTTTCAAAGGGATTTTAAATTAACAGGATTTCAAGTGAGGACCCTATACAAGATTCTTTATTTTACATGCATTCCTTTCAGTAAGTGCTGCTTTAACCCGCTCCTGCCACTTTCTCTTTGCGGGGTGGGGGGGCGTGAGGTTTTTTCCTATTTGTCTGTTTAACTCAGAGGAGCTCCCCGATTTGGTTCAAAGCACGGCTCCAGAAGAGTGGTACTGGCACAGCCGAGACCAAAGCCCAAAGATGGGAAAAAGCGGCGGGGAAGAAAAGGAGCAAGGCAGAAGCCAGAGAGACTGGTGGTGCTCTGGGCCACACGAGAAGAAATGCTCATCAAAACAGTGTGATTTGCAACTGTTATGGGCGAGTAGGAATAGAACACAGCCTCCCTGGGCGTACTGGAAAACATCTCCATGGACTAAATTTGCTTTTATTTAAGTAAGCGTATTCTGTGTGTGCAGCTAGATGGGAGAGTAATTTCCTAAGAACTCTTCTGAACATGCAATTATTATAATTCATAACACACAAACACACAGAAGCATGCATTCCATTATAAGCAAATATCCTATTATAAGCACATATTTTCGTGTTTATTCCTTAATTCAGAAATCCTGACAGGATTGTTTTACCTACATATCCTGCAATAGTCTCTATATTACATTATCTTCATGCCAAATATATGCTGTGACACAAATAAAAAAGGAAAAATAGGAGTCTCTGACACGTTCAAACTTGAAGAAAGATTTCTCTAGTTAAAGATACACTTACTAGGCTTACAGCCCCTGGGATTAAGCACAGAGAATTCAATCCCCTCATCTTTAATGTCAATAAAACCTACAGTACATGTAGTAAAGCCATCAGATTTTTTAAGTGACCCACACAGATTATTTTATGAAACTTGAAGCTTTTTTTTAATATATTATGAAGCTTTGACAGAGGAAAGAACAGTTTGTTCTTTCAGAATTTGTTTCAGAAATTAAAAAGTGTAAAACAATATATTCTGCTAGCTTAATTTAGTAAAGACTAGAAAGTGAAATTTAAAAGAATTCTGAAAGTTCTACACCAGGAGATATTAAAAAAAGAAAATACATTTCCACTTTACCGCATTCATGCGCATTACAGGCAGATACATACACATCTCATTACCAAGAAAAGCAAGAACCAAGCACAGTGGTAAAACCATTTACTTACACTGAGTTCAAATCCCTCAGCCTCAGTTTCTAATGGACTATGACCTAACACTACACAGCCAAACCTGTGCCACTTGGCAGAAGCAACAGATTTATCATCTCATGGATTAACATCATCAGTGATGCTCATTTTTTTGGTCTTTTTTTTCACTATACAGATGGCAGCAATGTCAACAATATGTAATGACCTGGTTTCGGCAGGGATAGAGTTAATTTTCTTCCTAGTAGCTGGTGCAGTGCTGTGCTTTGGATTTAGGATGAGAACAAAGTTGATAACACACCGATGTTTTGGTTGTTGCTAGGTAATGCTTACACTAAATCAAGGACTTTTCAGCTTCCCATGCTCTACCGACTGAGCAGGCTGCAGGTGCACAAGACGCTGGGAGGGGGCACAGCCAAACTGGCCAGAGGGACATTCCATACCATGGGACGTCATGCTCAGTACATAAACTGGGGAAAGCTGGCCGGGGGGGCCGCTGCTCGGGGACTGGCTGGGCATCGGTCGGTGGGTGGTGAGCAATTGCACTGTGCATCACTTCCTTTGTATATTCTTTTTTAATTGTTATTATTACTATTTTATTTCAATTATTAAACTGTTCTTATCTCAACCCACAAGTTTTCTTACTTTTACTCTTCTGATTCTCTCCCCCATCCCGCTGGGGAGGGAGTGAGCGAGCGGCTGCGTGGTGCTCAATCACCAGCTGGGGTTAAACCATGACACAGGGTAGTATCAGAATGCCTTTAGGAAGCACAACATCATGCTTGCTTGTTTTCTTGATATATTCTCTGGAATTTCTTGGTTTAAGATAATATCTACACACCGAGTCTTACATTATGGACGTTAGAGTACTGCCAACCTAGCTTTACAGTTTTAGCCCCATTAAAATGGACATTACTTCTAGTATTCTGGGAGATCTCCAAAGGAGAAGTATTTTGTTGTTAGAGACACACTAAAAGTTGTTCATGACTTTCAACATCCCAGAGTGAGAATAAAAGCACAGTTTACTTTCCCATTTTGGGCTTTTTTTCCAGCAGAAGATATTTTCAATCTTATTTGGTTTTGGATGAATGTCCTATATTTTAACTGCCTCACTCTAACATTTCCAGAAATTCCAAGACTGATAGCACTGTTCAACCACATGGTGCTTTAGAGAGAAAAGATGTTAGGCAGTTGTTTACTCACTCTAAGTGGTTTATAAGCTAAACCAGTCAGTTCATTAGACAGAGGTTTATAAGCTGAACCAGCCAATTCACAGGACACATTGTTTACAGCCTTTTCCTTCTTTTCCTTCCAGTTCTTTGTTTTAACTTCGAGGCGTCAGTGGTAACTGAAGACTTGCATCCACAAAATTCATGGGATAACATGCCTCTTTCAGGAAATGTTTGGTCCTTAGTCAGCAAATTACTCAGTTCTGCATGGGCTATGTCTCCAAAAAGCTTTGTTTTACTCTGAGCTGATGAAGAGGATTGAAGATGGAACATATCCCCAAGGAATTTTCTTAACATATTCCTGCTTCTTTGCAAATGGAGGGAAAAAAAAAGTATAGCTCTTAATTCTATTCTCTTAATTGATTCAGAGCTGCTCTCATTCTGGCACTGATGGTATTCTGACCGGATTTTTTTCAGGAAAAGTCTTCAAGATAGCCTGGGTCTTGTAGACAGCGTTCTAGTAACACGCCAAGATGCATCTCTTACTTTACAAGACATTTATGCATCAGCTGAACGGTCCCCTGAATGCAAGGAAGCTGGTATAGAAGCTAGGAGGATTTACGGGCACAGAGATGTATTTGCAATAACACAGTACAGAACACACGCCCTCCTACTTGGTTTTAGGATCAGGCCTTGCACATACGCAGCTGGTCTGGAGCTCAGGCAGAAATGAATGCCGGTCCCTCTGCAACAGCCACAGAAACAGATCTATTCCCACAGCATAGTAATATGCTTAATCTAAGAGTACAAAGCACATTTCAAGGACTAAACCACATTTCAACCACTAAACTAAGAAACAGCATTTTAACTAACATTTCTTTTCATAAGAGCCATAATAACTGGTACTTATAGATAAGGCATATGCAGAAATATTAACTATGATAGCTAGAATGCTCCAGTATTTGTTATTTAGTCCTGCAGATCTCTGCTCAGTCCTTTTCCTCATTTAGTCAACAGTCAAAATCTGGACCTTTCTTCCAGAACAGGTTGTCTTTGGTGTCACCCAAAGCATTTAACACTGCAGTGACTTTCACATTTGTCCAGGATACTGGGAAAAAAACCACCTACTGCCATACTGCAAGTGCCCACTGATGGAAAATTGCCCCTAATACTCTGTCAAAACACCCACATGAAGTTTTTGATGGCTGAAGTCCCTATTTCTCAGTCTTCTTACTGTGTATTGCTAAAACATTTCTAAATTTGTAATTCGGTATTAACTTATGGCAACGTCCAAATGCTGCAACCTACTATGAGATAATAAGAAATTAAAAGAATGTCCACCCCCAGGTATAATTTTCCCCCTGTTTGATTAACGGGAGAATTTCCTGTGCCACCAAGGCACACAGCACTTTGGTCAGCATTACAGATTTGTGAGAGGAAGCAAACACTCAGAGAAAAACAATAACTGTGAAATTTCATCACTAAATCATTTTCTCCAGGAAGGCCCAAGCAGATTGCTGTTCTCTAACAGTTAAGTTGTCTGTTCTCATAAATCGATAAGCCTGGCTTTTGCTGTAGGGTATATTAGTAAGAACTATGACCCTAGCCATTTTCTTTATTTCGCAGCACAGCTCTACAAAGGCAATGCTTGGGCAGACTTGCGTCACCCCTCAGGAGCACACCTCAGATAACTGTACTTTTCTAAGGTTCACTTCTCTGCACAGCACCACCATGCACACACAAACCCCTATATGCCTCTTGAATTCATAGCTCTCTGCACTTTGTACAACCTTTGGCTTGAATCTGCGCATCAGCAACTCGAAGAAACGAAGGGGAAGCTGCTTTACTCCAGGGACGGTGGCATGACGTGACATGGTAACATCTCTTTTAGCTCACAGCACCCCATCCCTTCTACCAGCATATTCAGTTTTGCCTCGTTTTAAATGCAAATCTGGAGGACTACACTGGGAGGGGGAAAAGGGGGAGTTATTAATCAAGCATCATTTTATCTGAAAAAGATACTTATTGCTCTTCATCAATCAGCAGATTTAGAGTTCTGTAAAAGACAAGAGAAATCCCCCCTCCAAATCCACATTGCTTAGACTTTACTATGGAAGCACATTGTATAAAGGGGATTTTTTAGCTCGGACAAACACGCTGCAGCACAATGGGTTACTATTTTGTAAGGAAGCAATTTCAGTACAGACACTCTTCAAATGGCATTGGATTACACTTTGGGCTATTGGCCAAATTCTGACATTGGTTTTATGCATGAAATGGAAAGCCACAAGGGCCTGAAAAGCAAAAAGATGACAGGACTGGGCTTTGGAAGGAACAATGATTAGATTGTCTCCAAAAAAGTATCTATTTTTACTACATTATATCGTGCCTGTAAACCCTCCCCCCGTCCCTTGAGGCTAGGCAATGTACAAATACAAAGAAAAGATAATCCTAACACCAGAGAATTCACCTTTCAAATTCTGAACTTGAGTGGTGACATTTTGCTATGCCGTATGGTTAAGATCTCTCTGAACAGTGCTCGTACATTACTTGAGATGTGCCAATAAAGGGGGCTTTTAAAAAAGATGGTGGCAAACTTTTTAGCAGGGCCTGTTGCAACAGGACAAGGGGGAATGGCTTTAAACTAAAGTGGGTAGATTTAGACTAGATAGAAGGAAGAAATGTTTTACGCTGAGGGTGGTGAAGCACTGGCACAGGTTGCCCAGAGAGGTGGTGGATGCCCCATCCCTGGAAACATTCCAGGTCAGGCTGGACGGGGCTCTGAGCAACCTGATCTAGTTGAAGATGTCCCTGCCCACGGCAGGGGGGTTGGGCTAGATGACCTTTAGAGGTCCCTTCCAACCCAAACTGTTCTAGGTTTCTATGAATACAAGAATATTGATTCTACAATCTGTAGTTAGTTATTAAAGCACGTTAGAAAATAATCTCAAGAATCTTTGTGTCTAAACACACACAAAAATGTTATCTCAGTAATATACAATATTACAAAATGAAAGGATGTGCTGATGTGCATGTCATTGTTGAGCATGCAGCTATCCTTCAGAGACGCGTGGCAGCTTGCCTGTGTTCCTTTGTATTGCTCAGTTAACGTAAGGACAAATACAAACAGGCTGAAATAATAAATTTAGGGTTCTAGTTATTTTATATCGCCATTTATAATCGGGACTTCTTAATTACAGTTCATCTCAAGCTACAGAAGTAATGATTTCTTTTTTTCACTCCTAGTTGAGGTTAACGTGCAGTATTAACCAGACACATAGGAATGAGGCAAAGCAACTGAGAGATACCTTAAAAAAATACAGAGCCTGAGTCACACACCTCACGAACGTTGTTAGCTTTGTCTATATACACCTTTCAATACAATTTTGACACATATTGGTCATTCCATACAAGAGAATTGATATACTATGAAAATTACTGAAACTTTAAGCTAAAGAAAAGATCCAAGCTGTTCTCTAGACAAAAAACCCAACCAGTTCAGAAGACTCCCTCAGCCCAAACACATACATATGGGTATGCTGAAGTTGTACTTTAGCTCTTTTGGTATTCTTCAGAATAATTTAAATCATAGCCAGCATGGATATGTTGTACCTTAACAGAGCTAAGTAATTACAAGTTTAACAACCAAGAATAAGTAAAAAGAGAGGCACAGAGAGCGCAACACTTAAGCAATCAACCCTTTTATGAGATAAACACTTATGAAAGTTAGTATCATTACCTGGAATATTATATTGATAGTAGTCAGGATCATCTGATTCCTCCTTCACTGTTACTGTTGCCATTTCCAAAGAAATTCCTGTAGAAGCAACAAAAGAATCAAATATGGAAGCTAGTAATAACCAGATTCTTAAAAAAAACCACCACCACCACCCACCAAAATCCTAGCTGGTCTCTATTAAAAAAAAAAAAGAACAAAAAATTATTTTCAGGTGCTGAGACACTAAACAACTGTTGAGCTAAACCAATGGTAACAAAGTGACCTGCTGGTTTCAGTTTGGTCACCGTCAGAAGGGATTCAGGTTTAAATGCTTCCCTACAAACTAGGCATCCTTGCAAATGCTGTCTTGGATCTGAAGAATTTAAAAGAATGGTCTCCTTCCTTTTTGCCCACTACCACAGCCAAAAAAAAAAAAAAAAAAAAAAATTTAACACTCGTTGTGCTGAAAGTACTTCTAGACCTGTTCCTGCTCCCTCCTCTGTACAGCCAAGTTCAGATACAGTCTGCATCAAACGGTGCTCTGATGGAGCAACACCAAAGGTCCTCAACTGCTCTTGGCTTCCTTCAAGTGAACTATCCCCTCCTTAAGCCTTCACAGCATTCCCTAAAATGTTTTCAAAACATTCCAACAAAAGGAGAATTACTTAAAAAGCCTAGAAAGCAGCACTGGAAAGAGTTTGGGACTGACCTGACAAAAAGCTCAAGTTAACTCTTTGTGTACGTTAAGCTAAATGTTAACCATGAAGGGTTCCCAACCACAAGTTTAAAGTTGTGAAGCACAAAGAACTAGAGCAAAAACCAGGACTAAATATAAAAACTTAATTCTTATACAAAATGCTGAGTAGCGCAGCCCAACCCAACAAAAGGGAAAGTCACAGGCTTATCTCCAGGCACACCTGTCGTCTCATTGGCTTTAATGGGATTATTCCTGCCTTTCTCTCGAAGCGTACACTTAAGCATTGCTCTGCTGCAGATCACAGAGCCCTGCAGGATCGCGTCCTACCTGCAGGGGAACTTAGGCATGCTTGGTCATTTTTTTAACAAGCAATAAACACACTTTGCTATTTTATTTCCATTTTAGCTATAAAATGGACATTCTGTCATTTTCAATAGTTTAGTAATATTAACAAATAACCCAAGTTTTCCTCTCCCCGTTAGGGATAAAGTGATCTTGAACTGGAACAAAATAAAAAAACAGAGGATTTTCTTCTTCTCCATTTAAAACTAAACTATTTACAAAGATAAATTATTTTAGTCTACAAAATTTTACAAATCTCCTCCTCCTAGAAATGGAAACATTTGGCTTAAGTTAAGTACTTGATAAAAACACAAACTGAAAAGTGGGCATTTTTAAGGAAAAGGTTTTTCTTTCTCACAAAGGATGTCTTTTTGCTGCTTTTTTCTTGGAGCTTCCTATCTTTGCTTGAATTCAGCCTTATGAACAGAAACCAATTGTTCTTTTTTTTTTTTGCAAATAAGGGCAAAATTTGGAACATACCAGAATCCTCGTTTGGTTCCGTTTTCACTTGAATAGGAGGACAACTACAAAAATAAACAAATCAAGCACATTAACATTATAAAAAACAGGTATCATATTTCTGGAAAGTTCCTCAAGCTTTACACGTTGTCAAGTAAAATCAATTTCCCAGTATTTTTTTTCGAACTAGGAACACAAAAGTAAAAAGCCTGCATCTTAGCTTATCTGATTTATCTCAAGGGAATTGCCAGGAATCTCCCATCCCTACATTTTCGGGACATACACAATATTCAAAGCATGTTTACCATTTAATGGGAAGCAAACTCAGAAGCACAGAAACACTTGCCATTTTGCTCCCTGTTTTCACATTAACCAATTTTTTATTTATTCCATATAGAATCTCTTCATTTACTAACAAAAAAATGTATTTTAACTTTTTAATCGAGGAGGGGGAAGGAAGCAACATTACATCTGTTCCCTATCACTTCCATATCATAAAACATGACAAACTTATCCCTGACTGACAGACTGTGAAGTAAACCACTCATTGGACTAATTAAACCAAGGGGAAACTTTGCCATCTGTTTAATTCGTAACAGTTTCCCCACAAATAATGGTCAAAAGAAAGAGAAAATTCAACTTCATGCTTTTTATAATCCCAGGCAAGCAAAAGTCATCCAAAGGTCAGCTGGATAGAAAAAGCACATTAAGAGAAAGATAAACTATATGAAAATACATAGTTGAAACAAAAAAAATACATTATTTTAAATTCACCTTCCACCTGGAGGTATAACTGAATGTGAAGATTCTGTCATATGAGCTCCTGAAAGTTAAAAGACAATTTTTTAATTTCCTGTACTCCATTTACCTTAAATACAAATTGAAAATGTAACATTGATTTCATGAAGCAAAAACCTGTTCATATTTTGCAAGCATATGTGCATATTTTCTGTATTCACAGATATGAAGGCGAGATCTCTCGTTAAATTGCTTTATTAATCTATAAAGGAACACCAATATAAAATTGCTCCAAATGTGCGTATCACCATGCTTTTCACTGCTGTCTTTCATGATGCTAAGTAAAAATCCTGGGAAACAAAGTTAAACAGATCTTCCACCTAAAGAAGATGGTTTCTTTCTGCTAAAAGAAAATGGATTGTTTTATAGAGATTCCAGCTTAGTCCTAAATTACAGCTAGACACAAACAGATTATGTTTATAGAAAGTAATTTACCACGCTGAAAACCTGCCTTGCTTTTTCAACAGATATATATTATTACCAGAATCTCTGTAATTTCCCACTCTTTAGTCTTCTTACTGAGCACAGGCAACACATTTCAAATTTCACTAATCCAGCACCAACTTGTGACTGTTTCACCTCAGAAAGTGATTACATTCCTATAGAGATTGCTTCATCCTCTTCATAAAACAAATCCTCACATACAGGAATTTTGCAAATAAAGCAATGATTCCATGAAAGGAACAGGAGAAGGGATTTCTTCTAGGCTAGAGTGAATCTTTGCAGAGTTTTAAAAAACTCACTTTAGCTCAGATTTTTTCATATATAGAGGCTTTCATAGGAACTGCAACACCTAACCACTTCAGAAGATTAGATCAATTTTTAAAATGAGATATAAATGCCAAAATCAGCCATGTATTGGAATATGGAGCACTGCAAAGTCTTGGCATCTTCTACAAATGCAATGCACAGTCCTTCATCAGTTCGCTTCTCCTTTCCCTAGGATAATATCCAATTCACATTAAATTTAAATTCAGTAAAAGGATGAAGAATGCAATAGAACAAATTTATCTCTAATTAGTTGCTCCTGGCAGAACACATAAAGGAACAGGTTATAGTTCCATAAGTAAGGCAACTGACAGTCTAGGAATTTCTGTACAGTTTGCCACTTTATCCACATGACCAAATCTTCTATCTATATTGCTATCTAAACTAAAATCCTGATCTGTTTCTGTTTAGTCTGGGTAAGTAGAAACTTACCTAGGTGTTTCTTTGGCTCTAGGAAAGGCCTGTGTGGAAATATGGAAAGAAAAACCCATAGCTTTAGTAAAGACATCATTAATGTTACACTACATTACGTAGTGTAAAGAAGTAAAGAGAGAGCACTCCTGTTTAAGAGAAACAGGCTGCAATGTATTTAATTAAAAATTAAAATTAATTGGACTTAATTTAAGTACAAAACCAAAGTGGACAGACCAGCACGAGAGAGAGCAAATAACCTTTTGATGATAAATGAGATCCCTGACTTGTTTTCCAAAATCCATTTCAGGGTTGAAACATCGTAATTTGCTGGATGTTTAAATGCGAGTCCTTCGGGCAGGCCCTGCACTACCACAGCAGACTGGTCCCTCTGAATCTTCTCATATGGCACAGGTACCACTGTTGACTTTCCTAAAGCTTTACCTAGGGGAAAAAAAAAAAAAAAAAAGAGATTGTTTTGAGGTCAAGAACACTCAAGTTAGCAAAAGGACGAGTCCCTCATAAAACTTCTTACTTTGAAGAGTACTGGAGCGAAAGCAAGGTGCAGATGCAAATCTCTACAGGAAACCAACTACTGCTTGCATTAACATGCACTGAACCCACTGAGATACAGAGGCTTTCTTGAAAGAAAACTAAATGGGCTGTGCTGTGCAATAACCTCAAATCACATCCCACAAAACGCATCAAGAAGAAAACTATCCAATATATATGTATGTTTTAGAATTGGCTACTAAAAGTTAAACTTACCACCTTAACAGCAGTATAGTTGGAAAATCATGCAGTACTTTCCTCCCAACTAGGATAAAAATTTAGAAATCCAGAACAGCTATTTAGAAGACTTTAAAGCACCCACCATAGCAAAAGCAGAAAAAGTCCTCCACAGACTTTCTGAGAGCTTCCAGTTCCACAATATCCACCGTCAGTCTGTTTACAGGTGGTACAGTCTTTGTTTTCTGCAGTTCTGCAGCCCTCTCCTCTTCTGTAACACCTGGCAGTTATTTATAAGAATAAGACAAAAATAAAACAATCAGTTATTAAAACTCCCAGTACCTAGTCCCTCCAGTTTGGACTATAGACATTCGGGAAGGATTCCTGCCAGAAAATCATAAGAACTTACTTGCCTCAGAAGCAAATGCACTTAGCTATGTACATGAGCAATGAGTAAATTTAAATTTACACCAAAATTATTATATCCTCCTTACAACCTTTGTAAATATCACCCTGTGAGGTGTAAGAATGATGAATTAAGAGACACATCCAAGCAGGCTTTTTTTGGCACGAAGAGGTAGAAAACAGTGTTAATCTCAGGAGAGGATAATACAGTAGAAATAAAATGCAAAACTGCCAAGAAAAAAAGGACCAAGACAGTCACCAGGAAAAAGGTAAAATGCCCGTGTGGAGGGTCCCAGAGCTCTCTAGCACTATGCATGATGTCTTATGCAGCAGTTATGTTATATCCTGTTTTGTTTATGCTGTATGTGCTTAGCTGAACTTTTTATAGAAGGGATCTGACTTTTGCCACAACAGCTCCTATATCTTTCAAAAGCAAGTACACATCTCTTATTGCCGAAGAGAAGGAGTTGCAAACCAGCCATCATCACGCAGAACAGAGAAGATTTCAGCCCTATGCCTTGTTCTAGTCTCTGAGCAAAAGTCATTGCAAAAAGGAGTGAGGGAATAACAACGCTTTCAATATTAAAAAGCAAACGGAAGTGATCGTCTCGGGTGGCAGCCTTCCTTTCTTATCATTCCGTTCTTGCAAAGACTTACTGAGAATCACCCAGCAAAAATAGGGGAAAACAACAGAGAGAGTCTGCATATGAAGGAAAAGCAGGGGAGATCTATGTTCCTGTGTGCAAGAGAATGATCAGTGCTGAAGTTGTGTCATGACTTCACCGTGAGCAAGCACAGCAGTAAGTCTGAAACGCTGCAATTTGCATTACCAGTACTGCTGGCATCATAATTCTAGGCTAATACGAGAAAACAAACATCAGTTTGAACAACTGATTACAAGTCAGTTGTGAAATGAGCTGAAGCAGCAATGCTTTTAGCAAAAATGCATTTATCACCTTAAAAATCCGTATCTTCATTTAAAAGAGAACCTCTTCCTTCCTCTACAGCTCACACGTCTGCTTTGTGCCCTAGAAACCCACCTCCACGTGACATTTAGCTCTCCAGCTCTTTTGCTTTCTCTGCAATATCATAGGGCCTACCATAACACAAAAATAGTGCAAAAATGGAATATTATTATTTACCCGTAACACAGGGGCTTAGCTAATGACAGTTGATAAGGTTTGCCTGGAGACTCAGGGATAAGAGACATTAGTTTCCACTTATGGCTACAGGCAGTGTCACTTTTTGGGTGGGTTTTTTCCACGTAAGAGACTGATTCACTGAAAACGCCTTTACTCCCAGTAGCTTCCCAAAAGTGTACCCACACTTTCTAAAAATAATAAGCAAAACAAAAATAAAATGACAACTCTGCTCGCTTCCCATTAAAATGAAAAGCAGACAAAAAGACATAGAGATTTTCCTTCTTAACTAGAAGAAACCTTATCGGTGTTTTTTATTACATTATTTTTATCTATTTTCTTGAGCTCACATTATGCATCTGCCTCCCTAATCGCTCCCACATTTGTTGCCCAATTTCAATCAAGTCTGACAAACAAGATCAAGTCTCAAAGACAGTCAGATTTATAAGAGCTCTGCACAACTCCTCAAACCTAGCAGCCATTCATCTCCTCCTGGCAGCACTGATGGGCACATCTCCACTTGTTGGAGGCTGCACAACTTAGAGGCTCTGTTGAAGCTCTCGCCACAATTACTAGAGCACCCAGCAGGATTCAGGCTACTTCTGGGACAGGGGATGCCTGAGGCGTGTGCAACAAGACCTGGAGGGGAAGAGGGATAGGGGGCTGTATTTACAGGGTAAATGGCTCAGGAAGGGTGAGGAACGGTTATACGGTACAAGAATTGCATCCTACACAGCTGGGAGTATACTGTAGGATTAGTCCAGTTACTCTGCAAAAGTTATTCCGG